CTTATACCACTTGATTGAGTATCCCTGCCGTCCATATCTCCATTGCTTATGCTCGGATGCGTCCATGTGGAGCCATCCCAGCACGCATCAATCGAAACGACAGGACATGACTTGACGCGACCCCTCGCATGCCTCGACGCCACACCATTAATACGCCGCCTGCTACGCCAACCACCTCGTGCCACATCATGCCTACTCGAGTACCTGCATTTCAAAAATCCTAAGGACCTTCTCGGCATGGGACTTGGGGGCTGACCACATACGACGTGTCATTCATAACAGGATCGGCTAGGAGTGGGCATTGGAACTGCAAAACCGAAACTGGTACTGTTCACTGGACCTTCTCGGCTGAGATGAGGCATTAAATGTAACCCTGAAGAGAAGAAAAGATCTCTTCCCATAAGTATCTTGACCTCCCATTTTTCCTCCTATAAATACCCCTCATCTATCTCCAGACAAAGGTAATAAATATTCTCACTGTGTAAACCTTACATTCATTATTCTCCTTCCCTACTTGAGTTGCTCACTGACATAACCATCGTAGGGGTCTGAGCTGGGATTGCCCCAAGTCTTTATTCTGATATTGTCCTAAAGTGTGCAGATCCGAAGGGACTACCCATCTACGTAGGAGATTGCAGGCTTGGTTTCTAGCCAGGGACCCGAGTCCCTACCCGAGAAGGATACACAGTTAACAAATGTGTTGAATTTCAACCCTTCTAAACTGGTTCATGATTCTCTTGCAGAAACTTTCACACATACTTGAAGCTTCACTTTCTTCTGGAATTGAATGTTTACTAAATGAGGTTGCGCATCATCCGATCTGCAAATGAAGCTGGCCATTGTGAGGTTTACAACAACACATATAGGTGGACATCGTGAAAACTCCAATATACCCCTCACAACAAGAGCACGTGCCATTCACATGTTCAAACTCGACGGATTCTGTTACGGCATGACTCAATTGGAACTATTTATCGAGTTAAATGATGTAATTGCCTAAAAAGAAATTCAAAGATCCAATTGCAATTGAGGGCAAAGTTTAGGGACGTCTATAATAAATATCCCAAAAATTAAATAAAATAAAAAAGCCATTCACTTCAATGGACTTCCCGGTAAACCCTACATTTCTCATTCTCTCCTCCATCTAGCCCTTTCACAGACTGAATTCGACTAGAGCACCATCGCATCCAATCCCTCTTCAGTTTTAAGGTTCAAATCTCTCTCTCTCTCTCTCTCTCTCTCTCTCTCTCTCTTTCTCTCTGTTATAGATTTCATTAACTTAATTAACAATTTTATGCTATGTTGTTTTTATTTGATTTAGCTCACTAGCCTGCTATGTTTGTGTCTCGTTTTGAAAATTTAAACATTTTTTTGGTTATTTCTTCAATTTAAGGGAATTCATGAACTGGGTTTGTTTTTTTTAGAGAGTCATTCTGATTAGGTAGAGGTTTTAGTTGCTCTTGCTGGGTTGTTAGCTCAGTTAGCAGCATATAAGCAGAAATTAGTATTAGCTATGACAATCTTGTTACTTGGATTTGTTTTTAGATTTTGGATTATGAATCAGCTTCAAGCTTCAACTTTTTCTCATATTATTACATGCAAGTAGATATTTTTTTTGTGCGTGATCTGAATATCATTGAGCTATATATCTGTTCCATAACTTCTATGTTGCACCGATACACCACTTTTTGGGGGTATTCGAGCATCGTATACGGTGCTGATACGGCATCGATACGTATCCGATACGCCACGTGGCATATCATGGACTTTTATGGCATGTTGACTTCCCGATACGAATTCGATACGTCCTAGATACGGTCCTGATACGGTCTCGATACGGCGCCGATACGTCTGGGGGTAAAAACGAAAATATTAGCAAACTTTGGGGGTGATTTTGAAAGTTTCTAAACATTTGGGGGTTAAAATGTAAAAACCAAAAATAGAATTTCAGATTGCTATGTTGAGAGGCTAGGTTTTTGGGGTTTCATTTAGACAGAACATACGCCAAACAAAAGAGAAGAAGAATGACCTAGCCGTCGCTCGCACCCAACGCCGCCGCAGCTGAAGGTTTCTTCTTCGCAGCTCAAGGTTTCTCTTCACTCTTTGAATAATCTGATGTTGTTAACTTATATGGGTTTGGAACTTGGGTATTGTTGGAACTTGGAACTTGGGTATTGTTGTATGGTTGGAACTTGGAATTGTAGTTAATTTGATTTGGGTTCTGTTGATGCTCTTTTTGGGAGGTCAACTTAGATAGAGATGGAGTGGTAGATTATGGGTGAAGGTAAGGACCTTCAACATGTGTGTGAAGATTTGGGCAAGCGATAAATATAAAAAAGACGAGATATACGTGGTTCACCCTTAATGAATAGGCTACGTCTACGGAGAAGTATGTTCTCATTATGATAATGTATGATTACATTTGTACATGGGGGTGGACCCAAATATAAAGATAAGAAAGGAGAAGCCCAGGGGTCAAGATCCAAGACCCTCTTCTAAGTGGAGAGTGGTCTTCTTTTATAGGTGAGGGGGAGTCTTCAATTTTTGTAGTTTTCTGATGTGGGACTCCTCTTGCTTTGCTTAAAGTTGTGACTTGTGGTAATGCTTATTTGGTTAAGGTGATGACCTCTCAAAGCATGACACGTGGATGATCTAGCCTAGCTAGTTGCTCGGTCAGTTACAGTACCAACAGTAGTCCCCCAAGTTCGCGAGTAAGAAGGTACTTCTTGATTGGGGACTTGTAATTTTAAGTGCACTGGCCGAACAACACCATAGTTCATCTTCCAAGTTGTATAGTGCACTGCCCATAGTCCCCCAAGTCCCCGGGTAAGAAGGACATTTGGAAGGGAGAGAACTTGGCACGAGGGTTGTCAAAGGCACAAAGTTCTATGTCGCAGGGTGATGTGGCTAGGTACCAAGGTGCCGAAGGCATAAAAATTGCATGTCGCAAGACGATGGGCCTAGGCACGAGGATGCCGAAGGTGATACAAAGCTTGCATGTTTACAAGGTGATGTGCTAGGCACGGGGGTACCGAAGGCGACACGGAGCTTGCATGTCGCAAGGCAATGTGGCTAGGTACTGAGGTGCCAAAGGCGACACAAAACTTGCGTGTCGCAGAGCGATGTGGCTAGGCATGAGGGTGCCGAAGGCGACACAAAGCTCGCATGTCGCAAGGCGATGTGGCTAGGCACGGGGGTGCCCCGTGCCGAAGGCGACACAAAGCTTGCATGTCGCAAGGCAATGTGGCTAGGCACTGGGGTGCCGAAGGCGACACAAAGCTTACATGTCGTAGAGCGATGTGGCTAGGCACGAGGGTGCCAAAGGCGACATAAAGCTTGTATGTCGCAAGGCGATGTGGCTAGGCACGAGGGTGCCGAATGCGACACAAAGTTGCATGTCGCAAGTCAATGTGGCTAGGCACTGGGGTGCTGAAGGCAACACAAAACTTGCATGTCGTAAGACAATATGGCTAGGCACGGGAGTGCCGAAGTTGGCAAGCTAGAAGTTGCGTCAACACTTGGATGGTGTGGTAAAAGCTGCGTGAGCCTCTGGAACTGTTGGTAGCTAGGTACCTTTGAGAGAAAAGTGGACTTGAGCCTTTCAACTTTGGTAAGCAAATTTACTAGCCCTTAGTACTTACGACCCGGGTTCTGCCATTCGGCAAGGAGGCTAGACCTGACAAATGGGTTGTATTAATGGGTTTCGGGTCGTGTTCATGTCAACCCGTTAAGTTAACGGGTTAACATGACACGACCCGTTAAGTTAACGAGTGACAAATACTATACCCAAACACTACCCGTTACAATTCACGAATATCTAACACAACCCATTAACCCATTAAGAATAAACCACCAAAAAAAAAAAAAAAAACAACTATCACAGCTTCTCTACCGACACGCCTCTCT